ACTACTACTACTACTACTACTATTTTGACATTCGGGATCAAACAAGGCCCAGACCATGCATGTATATACAGTATGAAATAGTTGCTTACATTCATCCCATGAAAATGACCCATCCATGCAAGTATCTATATAATTGTTACACACTGCGCATTCCAGTCCCATGGATGGTTTGGGACAGGGCAGGTGTATGCAGGTGTGCACTAGTTTCACACCTCCCGATGACCAGTTGAGCTTTCCAGTGACCGACTGAAACCGCTGTCTCCGGTCGTTCTTGGATCCATCAGATCATCCTAAGTGCCAGCATCCCAAGGTACAGGAAGGCCTTCCATCGAACTCCAAGGTGAACATGTTTGAAACATAGGAGGTTTCCTCCAAGCTGGTGTCGAATTCCTCCAAGTTCACCGACCATGGAAGGGGGAACTACAGAAAAAGACCAACCATAGAATAACGGTGTCCCAAAAATCAAACCATGGTCGCCTTGTCGCACACATCGGTGTTCTTTTTTTTTAAGCCACCCAGCCATGACTCACGGGTGAAGGCGGTTTTTCACTCTGCCAGCGTTGACTTGGTCGTGTTCGTCTTGGTCATGAAGGGATCTCTCGTCCACGGAGGACGGATCGGAGGTGATCGGTTTCTGGACGTGTTTTCACTGGCGTCCCCGGTGCAAGTAGTGCGGTGATGTATCAGGATGAGTCAGAACTTAGAAGGAACTTGATTTCTTTGGCCACTTCCAGGAAGATCATGAGATCTAAATGCGAGTGCTTTGTACAGTTTCATGAGCAATCGATTCTTCTTTTTCCCGAATTATCTCGTGAGAGTGGCAAACTTGGCAACCCCGGTGTGACACTTCTGAAACGCCATGGATCACCATAGTCTGGCAATATGACACAATACACATATTTGCATCTTTGACTTGCCACCCAGAATCTGCAATTTGCAAAAGATTGACATGTAGACTCACTTAGGAAGACCTACCGCATTGGGGGCCGCCGAGAGTCCCAGAGATTTGGAGACCCAGCCAGTCAACGTCAAAGACACATGCATTGTCACAGAATTGTGGAACCTCAATGTCAGTGGCAGGTGGGTTTTCAAACGTGTTCAAATGATTTGGGTGACGACAGATACCACTATTTAAATTCTGAATGATTGAAATCAATTAATTCATCACCAGCATTGTCAAGAATATCCGCATGTTGGAAACTTTGGCTTGATTCATCACTACCTGCTTTTGCTGTTTGGGTGGATGTTCATTTTCTCGAATCTAGGTGTATAATCCAAAAACCTTGTGTCCCGGTTTCGTTTGCCTCACAGACGGCCTCCAGAAATGGCCTCCGACAAAACAAATGCAATTGGAAACGTCATTTGGTTTGCAACAACACCAAGATGCTCATTTGGGTAATTATGCGGTATGCGTTATGCTATGATACACCTTGGCACAACTAGCCCCGGGTGGATCCCAATTCTCTAGTGCGTCAAAAGCCAAACCACTGGTTATTCCCAGAACTGGCTTAAGGGAAAATCTACAGGACAGCCATAGTTTGGGGGATGAAAACCATGGTTTCCTGTAGATGTTCCCTTTAACCAATTCAATCCAATTCATTAAGTTGTGGTATTCTTGGAGATCCATTGCCGGGGATGTGGAAACAACATATCATCCTCCTCAGCGGCGCATCTGAACGTTGACTTTGGACTTGCAGACGGGGCCCAAGTTGGGGTGAGGCCACTCCGAGTCGAGACCTTGCAAGCGATCATTTCAAGAATTCAAAAGTTTTCCGAAAATGCACAAGGCGCCATATGACCTCGTGCCACTCATGCCTCATTCATTAGAGATTAGAGGGAGCCAACAGAAAAATGTTTTGGCCTGAGCCTTAAGGAAACACTCTGACAGTTTGGAAAGGCTCCAGGTACCTTCGAAGTCATATTTTGTTTGCATACCGCCGTGTTTGCCATATATTTGTGTTCACTACCACTTGTTTTGATGCGTATCAATTGCATGTGCGATAATTATCACCATTGATTGCATATAGTGTTGCATTCATATATGCTGGCATGCTCCAAACCCTGGCAAACGATAGGGGACTCACAAAAAAAGAGTTTAACAAGGTTCCAAACATGATACATACTTACAATGCACACCGATGCACAAATTTTGACGTACCTCATATGTGCTTTTGAATGTCCATAGTGTGATTAGTGTTTGATTTGGCAAGTATCAGTATCGCTGTCTTTGGTCACCCGCTTTGGTCTGCCCAAAACCATGACTCTTTTGCCACCGACATTTTGCTTCCAAAGGTTGAGGGGCAACTAGCGGTGATGTGACTTTTCTGGGTACCTATAAACTTTGTTCTGTTGCAACAGTTCTGGCTGGCGCCACAAGCACACAGGCAGCGGATGAGCTGGCACCCCGAATATCTACTTAGGTACCAAGTGGCCAGCGTCAAAGTAGGGCATTGTGTGAGGTTATGTGCTGGTTGCTTGCTTTCGTTTGTTCTTTTGATATTCTCTTTATATATCTGGAAGTACTAGTAGTGACCATTATAGACATGGTCTAATTTGTTCAGGAGAGTTGGCTTAGAGGAGCGCTGCGACGGCCCAAGTCAGGCATCTCCTACATGTGTATTGGACTTCTGCAAGGGGTTTTGTGCTCCGTTGCTTGCCGTGCAGTTCCAGACTGGCCCGAAGGTCCGTCGGCAGAACGTTGGGAGAAGAAGCGAAGAGAAGGATGGATCGACTGACCTTTGGTTTTTCAGAGGGTGGTCCTCTTTGGTTGGAGTTCAGGTGAAGCTTCTCAATTGGTTTGAGCTCCCACAGTCAGTTCACTGAGGTGTGTTGGTCAAGCAAACGACCATTGAGGTCTGAAAACAAGTCGCAACAGACCCTGGGCGCGGCAGGAGGTCATCACTGGGCTTCTCCCCTTGCGGAGACTGAGCCAAGGCCGACGAGGAAACCTCCTCGCTTTGTTCCGTTGGCACCCGAGAGAACATGTCCCTGTTTGGTGGATCCCGCGCCAGGGGGATCCTGTAGGGAAGACAGACTCCTGACGCTGTTTCGATGGAAAAAAGATCCGGTGTGTCGGTCGGGTGCCGAGTGACCACGGAGGGCGACGCGCGGAAGGTGGAGGAACACAAGCGGTCCGGATGGTCTTTTGGGGGGGATGCTTTTGGGGTGAGTGCGCTTCAGCTAGAGAGTGTTCATTCTAGCCTTGCCGGACTCAAGACCCTGAGGGCCCAGGCCTGTTTAAAACTAAGCAGGTACAATTAGTTCAGCACCTGGAAGACTCCAAAGTCTGTTTCAGCCGGCCGGCATTTGGCAACTCCAAGTGAAGAGATTAAAACATGAAAAAAAACTACGACTGGCCCTTTTGCTGCTTGAAGAAGCTTGGGCGGCACTTGGCTGACTGCCGCATCAAGAGGACGCCATGGCTTCGCGCCAACCGTGCGCGGTCGGGTGGTCCCGGCAACGCCACGGTTGGTCAGCAAGGCCACGGTTGGTCTCAGAAGATGTCGACCTTCGTCGTGGTCGAAGGCCACGGTGGTGAAGTGGCATATCCAAGTGGAGCCCCGTCTTAACACCCCACCGGGGAAGAAATACAACCAGCATTGGACGCATCTACCAGCATTGGACTGTGCGACACATCCCAATTTCTGAAACGCTCACCGCTTTGGGCTGACTCACGTGTGGCTTCGGCTTCCAACCACCGCGGCGCCGGGCCTTTCTAAACCCGGTCGCCCGATCGATTTCTGGTCGAGGCCCACACTGAAGAGGTGGCTTGAGAGAGCGCCCAAACTGGCTGGTTCTTGGGGAAGCTGGGTGGCCCAGTACGACCCGGTGGGACTCGAAGGTCAGGAAAGGGCCGGTGAACCGTTCGTTTGGTGAACGAGGCGGGGGGGAAGGGTTTTGGCATGCCAGGCTTTGGTTTTGATCACTTCTGAGAAGGGTATACTGTTGGAAGCCAGTTGGAAGCGCATCAAATTGCACCCTGTCCAGTCAGTGGATCACCTTCAACCTTTTTTGGGATGTGTTTCCCACTTAAACTTCACATAATTATATATCGGTGGAAAACAGGTCCTTTATATTCCCGGGTCGCAAGGTTGTGCATTTGGAATTCCCTCAAGATTTGAGGACTCCCACAAAAGCGAGACAAGTCAAATGAGATCGGTCATTGAACAGTTGTTCTTTGGGGGGGGGCATTGGGACACCCTGTGATGTTCAGTTCGGAAGAAGACATGCTTTCACCCCATCCAGTACTTCCAATCCCTGCGTGCCGGTGCCGCCGGCTTCCGCGAAGCGCAGGCGGCCGTGCGCCGCAGGGCGCCGAGGTGGGACAGGGTCATGGAAGACCGGTTGGATATCCTGACAGGGAAGGACCGGGTCAGGACACCCCCTTGCCTGGGGGATAGCAGAAAAGATGTAGGTTACCAGGCTGCAAGGGGTGTTTGGAGGCTTTGAGAGGGGGGCGTCAGTCTGAAGGCAACCCGTGGCAGGTGAAGGCAACCCGTGTCTATCTGAGCGACGAAAATAGCTAAGCTGGAATTGCATCAGACAAGCTCTCGGAAATGGTGCTGTATGGACTATGTCCACAATGACTCTATGGACTTTATGGCTTACGAAGTGGCCACACTTTCAATTGTATCTCATTATGTCCTTTCACAGCCTTGCCAACCTTCATCCTGGACCGAAAGCATTGGAGGGGCCGGGTCTGTATTTTAGCAGCAAAGGGATTGCATATGCAGGGCCTAGTCGAAGCCTTCAACAACCTGGGTCCTTTCGAGATGTGGGAATCACAGCGTTGTTTTCAGTGCAGCAAAGGGAGATGCAAAAGCTTTCGTGTCCCGGTGACCAGCATTGGAATGTTTGGGGTTTCAGTCGCTGGTAGCCATTCCACAGGGCCCAGTTGTGAAGGGGAGTCCTGTCCTACAAGGTCGCTACAATCAACTATACTCACTGCTGCGCACATCGAATGTAAGAATCATCGAATCCGAGGAGAGAAGGAGGCTCAGGAGGGCATGCCTTTTGGATCAAGCTTCTCTTCGCTGGTCACGTGTGGCTTCCACGGCCAATTGGATCCTCTCCTCACTCCTCACCTACAAAGAACCATCTAGCAAAAAATCCGAACCTTTATCCGAAAAGTCCGGAGTTTGGGACACTCTGGGTGCGAACTCGGGTCACCCGCCAGCGGCGTTTCCGGCGGTTTCGGTGGGAAGCCGGCCGGAGGCTCCGACCGATTCCGCCGCTACGCGACGAATACACCGGTACGCCGTTGGCCACACCAAGCCGCTGGCGTTGGAAACCGTTGAGGTTTGCTGACGAAGAATCTACCAAGAGTTGGGATTGATTGACAAACAAAATAAATCAAAACCAAGCCTGGGGCAAGAAAAAACAAAAAATAACATTGCTTGAAGTCGAAACGATTTCAGGTAGCATGGGGTAGCTACCCCAAGCATGCCAATGCATGCGATATTGAGTAGGCAGGATGTTCATCGCGTTCAAACTCCTTCCCTAAAGACTAGAACTGGGGATGCAGGGATGCAATCTGATCCCACGAGTCCTTGTGGACCTTTCGGAAGCCCCTTCGGGCCGGCTGGACGCCGGCCTTCGGCGTAGGGTTGTAGCAGACGGTTGTCGTTCATCCTCCCACACTCGGGCGCATCAGGAGGTGCTGGCTGCCCGCAGCAAGGCGCAGGTGCCAGCTGAGAACGTCGGAGAAGTTTGGGAACTCTACCTCGCATGATTTGGGGTCCAAGGAGGGTGAAGTGATGAGAGCCGCACGAATTGGAATTTTGATGAACTTTGAGATTCTTCCTGAACTCTAACTTACTGGTAGCTGCTGCTTTGATTCCTCCACGGGGAAGTTGCCGTCTTCACATCATCTCTGTTTTGGAACACTGCACCTGGCAAAGTGGGTGACTTGCACAGGGCTTCAACTCCAGTTCTGGTATCCGGCCAATGAGCATTAATTCAAATCAAAAGCAGTCATTTCTAGAAAACAGCATGGACGTCAAAAGAACGCGATTCTGGAGTGTGTGGTCGTATCCATCCACTTTTGTGAACATGAACCCCTCGCGAACAGGCAAGCAATGTCCAGCCGAAAACGAGAAGTGCACTGCAGCAGGAGATGTTTGTCCCAAATGGGGGACATAGACCCTGAACATCGTTAGACCCTGAACATCGTTAGACGAAGGTGCATCTTGTCAGATCGGGTTTTGTTGGCGCTGATGGCTTAGCTACGGAGGTTGCTGCAGCATATTTAATGTTCTTTCCCCTTCCCTCTCCATATTGTCTCATGAGCTCGAGAAGCCCCGCGATCCCGGCTCTGTCTCATGGCGAGAAGGAGACACAATGAAAATGACTCAGACAGAATTTACAGAGACTGGAAAGCTGACAAAAGAACAGAAGAGATATACCACATAGATGCAAATAGCTTACAGACAACATAAACACAGAAGCTGCAACATGCTTTGGGGGTCCCCTTATTTGGTTGAATCAATAAATCCAAGCAGATGAGATGGATCCGATGTGGACGGGTGGCCACGGCCACGGCCAGCCCAACTGCTTGCTATCACCGCGACGCCACCGCCGTGCCAACGCTACCGGCCACGACCGAATCCCCGGACGCGGGATGATGTCGGTGGTGCCGAACGATGTGTCGGCCGGGCGCCTCAGCTGGTCCCAGCGAGTCCATTCCCGGCTTCGGGAAGGATGGGATACATTGGAGATGCCAGTCGTCGTCCCGCAGGAGGTTGGGATTACATGGGGTTACAATGGCTTGGTTGACTGGAGGGGATATCCCCAAGGTCCCCCAAGTGTATAATCAGTATCTACCAGTAAAGGTCTATGGCAGCAAACTGACTTCTTCATCAATTCCCAAGTATGGGCATGTATCATTTGAGTAGACCTTCATGTGAGGTCCCTTGAATTTGTGACTTTCAACAGACTCTGACAACATCCTGCAACCAGGAGCGCCTGAGTCCGCCCGCTGTTGGGGGGGTTGAGGCACTGGGCGAGGCTAAGGGTGAAACGCGTGAAGATTTCAACGGGAGAATAGACTCAGAGGGATGTATGCTTATTCCAGGCTGGTGAATGGTCTAAAGTCACCGAGATGTATGGAAGAGAGCTAGTTCCTGACATTTGGACAATTGGTCGGTCGCTCAGTTTTGAGAATCTTGCACCAGTATGGGGATCTACAGATACCGCAAGCAGTCAGGCTTTGTGGCAGCTACCTGGAAAATCCTGAACATGGATGTACATTGGGTTTGTCCTAGCAAACCTGCAACCGTCATTAAACAATTATCACACATTAATATTGTAACTATGTTTGAACAAGGCCTTTACGAATCATCATCATCATCATCATCATCATCATCATCATCATCATCATCAT